TAATAGCTACACTGTTTAATCATGAAAACAAAATTATACTATAATATATATTATAGGAAACAGTCGAGAACCTCCCGTTTTTTATGATAAATTTATCTTCGGAACAGCCAAAACGGTTGATATAATGTCAGCATTCTTCAGTTATCGCCGGGCCCCTGCATGGGGCCTCTTTGGTGGTCACGAAAATTTGCCCGGGGTTATCGGTGCAAAAGAAACAATTTTAAGCATTTGTGTAATTTTCTTTGTTTAATTTTGTCATTAATCTTCTAATAAAGTTTTATGTTTAATTTGTGTACCGATTTGTAACTGCTTGTTTTCAAAAAAATTCCGGGAACTTTTGTGTTACCCCTGTATATGTAATTAATTTTTAAAGTATGTTTTTATTATTTTTACTATTTTATTTATTATTTCATAAATAATAAATACTATTTTATTTTTTATTTCATATAAATAATAAAGTGTAATTATAAATAACCCACACAGCACACTTTATCTGAGGGACGTCCTACAGATAAAGTGGGATATATATCTCAATAACCGGTGAATATCCAGTGGATATTTAATATCCGGTGGATATCCAGCGGATGCACAAATGTCCCTCAAAATATCCTGTGCTGTGTGGGAAACCTCTAAAATATTTATTCTTTTATTTCTAATATATGTTTAATTTTAAGATATTAATATTTTACTTTTAATATTTAAAATTTTACGATATTTACATTTTCAAATATGGCGCTTTATTCAATCAAGGATATGGCGGTATGTCACGTGATTGGTAACCCACAACATCAAAGAAGCCGAGACGCACTGTCGTAACTGGACGATCTAGCATAGAAAGAGGACACGTTGTGTGCACTGTGCCCATAGGTTTTAATCTCGTCGATTTGAGTGAGATGAGAAAATAAGGATTGACCCATTTACGATCGAAGCATTACTTGGATACGATTTTGCAGTAGCAGATAAACACGTCGAATTAAACTGTATTTTCGTCGATATTTCGCAGTACATATGTACATACACGCATAGAAGTATAAGAAGAAGAAAATCATAAATTGTCGTGACATAAAAATATGGCTACCATGGGCGAGCCTCTCACTTTAGCAAGAGGTAAATTTTTACTAATCAGTTTCAATTACGCAAATACACGTATTATTATGCCATACAAATGACATTTGACGATTATTTTAACACTTACTACAACAAATTATACAAAACTTTATCTTTTCTTTGTAGATGTCAAGAGGTCTATAGAATTATTAGATAAATTGCAAAAAGGTAAGCAATTATGGAATAGAGCATTTCATGTATTTTGACAATTATCTAACTTTATAACATTGATTTTCTTTAGGAGGGGAGGTTCCTACAACAAAGTTAGCAGCATTACAGAAAGTGTTACAAAGTGATTTTCTTAGTGCAGTACGGGAGGTATATGAACATGTTTATGAGACTGTTGATGTTCAGGTAACAATACACAAGCATTATATAGCTAATGTTTTAATTTAACAGATACTCGTTATTAATAGTCATAATTACAATTGTTAATGACAATTTGTTAAAGGGTTCGCAGGATGTACGTGCATCTGCAACAGCAAAAGCAACCGTTGCTGCTTTTGCAGCTAGCGAAGGTCACGCACATCCACGTGTAATCGAATTACCGAAAACGGAAGAAGGACTTGGTTTCAACGTAATGGGAGGTAAAGAACAGAATTCGCCGATTTATATATCTCGCATTATCCCTGGTGGGGTTGCTGACAGGCACGGTGGTTTAAAACGTGGGGATCAACTTTTGTCCGTTAATGGAGTGGTTAGTAGAAATCTGTCTCTTCAATTTTTCAGAAGTAACATTTTTACAATAATTAGAGATAATTTGTTTTAGTGCGTCGAAGGTGAAAATCATGAAAAGGCGGTAGAATTACTAAAGCAGGCTCAAAATTCTGTAAAATTAGTAGTTCGTTATACTCCACGTGTTCTCGAAGAAATGGAATTACGTTTCGACAAACAGAGGGCTGCTCGTAGACGTCAACATATGCAATAAATATTAGTGCAAAATATTTAATTCGCTAAAGAAATGCAAATTTATTGATTATAATGTATCTATACATCTCTATACATTTAAACTATTTATGCTTTATAGGTATAACTTGACTAACGTTCAACATTCTGATAGTTGTATTCATATTCTCATTCATCAATAAATGTGGTCTATTAACTACATGCTTTTGTCAACTCTTTATACTACATTTAAGTGATCAATTTTGAAGTATATTAAACATTGCAATATTCGTATATTTTATGGTATATATTGCTGACGTTGCATACGAATTAGAAATTATTGTTGTCATTCGTGATATGGAAGTCAATTGAATGATAACCCTTCGTCCCACTAGGTGGGTCGTTTTCGTCCGGGCGAAAATCAAATGTAGTTGTAACTTTTGCAAACGCGTAGAAATGGCGCCACTGCGCATCCGTAAAAAAAGTTATGCTCCCCGAGAACCCGCCTACCGAGTTTCAAGGCGCCAGACCCCCTCCAGCCGTCACAGGAGACACATAATTCTTGAAAAAACGAGGTTGGCGGCGAACACTTAAGCACTTTATTTCAAAATAATTGCATGCAATATTTTTTTTATGAAAGGTACGTTTTTCCCCTTCAATTTCTTTTTTTATTTATTTCGATATCTTTATTTGTCTTAAAGTTATGATTTTTTGAGTAAAAGATGATTTTACAAGTTGTAGTTGTAGTTGCTCCATTTCTTAAATAAAAAATATGTGAAAAAATTAAATTGCTTATAATTTTATGATTGATACTTCAAATTGAAGGTTTGAATTACCTTCATGAATTTTTTCAGATTTTTTGTAACACTTTAACACTTAAAAAAAACGTCAAGACGAAAACGACCCACCTATGCGGCGTAAAGGTACCAAAAAAACCTAGTGGGACGAAGGGATATAATATACAATATACAATAGTATAATGCGAAGAGTGAACCAATAAAAAGGAAGACCTATATAAGATAAGAAACATAGCTTATGAAATAAATATCTTCTTAAAATTTTTGCCTTTATAAATAAGATGAAAAAAGTAGCGAATATAACTATTCCGCTATCGGCATTGTTCAGTATTTTTGTTATTTTGTTAATAAATGTCCATTTCTATGAGAATTTAAGTGTACGTACCATTTTTAGGGCCATTTCGACCAAACTCCGATTAACTTAATCATTGATTAGTCCATTGGAAATGACCAATCGTATTCGTCAATCTGCTTGAAAGAGTCTTTGCCGATTGCCAGTTGCTGTCGCAAAAAAAGTTAAAAGTTCGCCATGCGGCAGAATGCGTTGACCAATCACAAATTTTGATTTTGCCGCAGGCGACTTGCGGCCTTCTGATTGGTCAATACACTCTACCGCACGGCGTTTCCGCGTCTATGGAGTCTTAGCATTAGGGCCGTGTCTTAAGCCCCTTGCACAATGCCAGGCAACAGGCAATAGGAACAGGAAATAACCAAAA